AGTGGTGAGGCTGGGCCCTCAAGAGCAGCTGCCTGGCTTCAGCAGGGGGAGAGCCGTGCTTTGAAAGCCAACGTTCAGCCTGGACAGGCTGACCAGATATCAATGGGGTGGGGGGTGGCCACCACAGCGGAGGTCACGGGGGGGGGGGGGGGGGCTGCAAAAACCTCCCCTGCCAAGCCCATGGGAGAAGGTGGTTCTTCCCCTGACCAGTTGGGGCTTCCCGGGACTGCAGGATGCCTGCTCAGGTGTGTCTCTTCCCGGCAGGTGAAGCTGAACAAACTGGCCTTCCTGAACCAGTTCCATTTCGGTGTGTTTTACGCTTTTGTGAAGCTGAAGGAGCAAGAATGTCGCAACATTGTGTGGATCGCAGAGTGCATTGCGCAGCGCCACCGAGCAAAGATCGACAACTACATCCCCATCTTCTGAGTGTTTCCCTTCACCTGGCAAAGCCCGTAGATGTCTGGATGGGGCGGCTGAGGCAGGAGGGTTTCCACCCACATCCCCCTTTCCTGTTGGACTCCTTCTGCCTGCCAGAATTGGACAGGCTCAGTCGTGCTGTATCTGTACCAACTCGTTGTGCTGTTGAGAAGGCCCCTTGCTGGGCGCATCAGAAGGCTTCACACCCGCAGCCATCCTGGTGCCCCCATTTGGGACACACCCAGTGGCCAGTTCTTAGCATCGGCTGCCTGTTGCCACCACCCTCAGGGGCTTCTCAGCCTCGGTCAGGGCAGCCAAGTGATCCTCTGCCCGGAGTTCCACCCTCCTAGGGGCCTGCCTGCTTCTCCCTCCCTGGGTGGCCTCCTGTCTTCTGCAGGTGGCGGCTCTGGCCTTAAGCAGCAGCTGCTCCAGCCCCCCCTCTCCCCCTGCCAGGATGGTCAGGGGTCGCTCCTTGCAAGGGCCCTGGGGGTCTCAGCCCCAAGTTCAGGCGAGGATCTCCCTGCCCGGGGTGGCTCTGAGCTCGCCCCACTGCTCCGTCTCTTGGGCATCCGTAAGGCCTGACTGGGCACCTGCATCAGCCCGTTCACCTGAGCAGGTGAGGCTGGTGCTTTTGACCTCGTCAGCAACTTTTCTCCCACCAGCGGTAATCGAAAAAGCTTCCCTCGGAGCCGGCCCAGAGCTCTTGCTGAAAGTCCCACGTTTCTATTGAGATGGCCCCTGGGGAGTTGTGTGTGTGTGTGTGTGGGGTCTTTGTTGCCAGGCTTGCTACCCTTGAGCAGCAATGACAGACATCCATCTGTTTCCCCCCCCCTGGAAAACCGGCCCCCCCCCCCCCCCCCCCCCCCCCCCCCCCCCCCCCCCGCGGGCACAGTCCCGGGTCCTTGTCAAAGGCTGCCTTTCCCTGGCTATTGTGGGTGGGAAGTCAGTCCCGTCAGCCTCCGTGTGTGCTCAGTGATCGCGCTGTTCCCAGTGTTTGTGTATCTTCCTCTTAAACCATAGTGATGAACCACTGAGTCGCTCTTTCTCTCTTCCGGCCTCTTGTGCCTCTGGCAGACCGCAGAGCTCGGGCTTCTTGGGAGGTTTGGTCTGAACCGTGAACGGAAGGGTCCAAGGATCGTCCCACCAAGGCTTCCACTCAGTCCTTGCAAGTGGGCGGTTCTCTTTCATAAACCAGCAAGCAAACCAATTTCAGTCAATGACTGAGCAGCTTACAGCTCATAAAATATATTAAAATTTTGCACCCAGAATTACACCTGGAAACACTGGTGGCCGGTGCAGCTCATGCAGGAATGGTGTTACAAGTGCTGTGCATCTGGCGCCAGATACTACCCACATGGCTGCATTCTACACCAGTTGAAGTTTCCCAAGGGTCTTCCAGGGCAGCCCCATGTAGAGTGTCTAACAGTAGTCTGACCTGGAGGTTCCAAGGGTTACTGTGAGTAGGGCCTCCCAGTACAAGTATGGATGCAAAAGTTGGAGCTTCTTTTGCAACCTTCCGTCCCCAACAACCCCTAGACGCTGGGAGAGGATATCCAAGGCACCGCTCAAAGGGTGGGAAAGACATAAAGCTGGGTGTCTTCTGCATACTGATGATGGATCCCTTCACTCAACAGCCATGTTAAAGCTCGGGAGAGAGAACAAAGGCACCCCACGGAGGAGGGGCCACAACCTGGCCCTCAACTGGCCCCGGAGGAAGGAGTGCCAGCGGCCCTCCATGGTGCAATCAGTGCCGTCTCTGACCCCAATCCTGGTCTGCACCCCCAACCGAGACTAGACAATCTGCTTCATCCAGAGTTCCCTGAAGCTGCCACGCAACCCCTCCGTCACCTTCCCTAGGAAGAGGAGCTCAGAGACCAGGTGGAAACGGCCCGAGCTCCCTGATCCTTTGAGGACAACCGATCCCGCTTCCTGAGGCTGGACTGGGTCACTTTGACCCACCAGGTGGTTTGGGGCTCTGGGTTCCAGCAATCCTAGCCAACAGCTGTAGTTCAGCCTCCGGGCCTTTATTCCTCCTCTGGAGAAACAGCTGATGCACCCGATTTGTTTACAGCCCTTCAAACAGTTGACTGTGGCCATTGCACCACCTTGGCCATTGCCTTGTTTCTCAGGCCCAGTAGGTGCTGCTCCGTTTCCCTCCCCCAGAAGGGCGTGTGTTCCTCTGCGTGCCCTGAGGCCGTCTCTCTGCTCCTGTCTCCAACCAGAGGCCTTGGCGGGTGCCATGCAGAGGGAACAGGCTGGTGGGGTTTGAGGGAACCCAGCAAGGTTTGCTGGCTCTGGGTGGGCCAGGTGGCTTGACTTTCAATGAACGTAAAAGCGATTTATATGGGACTAATCCTTACTAAAACTCTGCTGCTAACTTCCTAACAGTGTTCCATCCCTGGAGGTTTTCAAGAAGAGGCTAGACAGCCGTTTGTCCGGAGTGGTGTGGGGTCTCCTGTCTGAGGAGGGGTTGCACTACAAAGCCTCCAAAGCCCACTCCAACTCTTGTTACTTCCCAGTTAATCTGAAATTGTTTGACCCATAAAAACCATGAAAATTCCTTCAATTTGCTCTACTGTCTCACAGAATAGAACTTTAAGCAACAGAACAACAGCAACTAAGGAAAGTTGAACAAGGGCGTGGCAGGTGATCAATCCCGTCCTAGGTGCCCATTGGCAGAAGAACAAAGGCCAGCGCTGAGGGCCTTTCCTCCCACGCTTCTCCCACTCTCCCTTTCTGCCTGGCAGGGGCCGCCTTGTCCTGGGGAGCCAGCCTCTGGGGGGGTGGGGTTGCGGCCAGGAGCTCCTGGCATTGAAACCCAACAGTATCTGGATGGCTCCCAGTAAAGCACAATATCCAATCCAATAATGTATTTTTTTTTTATTTAACTAAGTAACAATATAATTGTGCTCCTTTTGAAGAAGGAAAAAAAAAAGGCTCACCGGTGAGGCCCCCTTAATGCTTTCCATGGTGGGGGCTGCCATGGAGGAGGAGGAGAAGTGGCCCAAGCCATAGAGGCCAAAGGCCACGACTGTTGAGGTCAGTCCCTGTCCAGCAAGGGGCAGGAGAAGGTAGCTTGGTTTGCCTGAGGCAACTTTTAAGGAGGTATATGAGAGAGGTGGCCAGAAGCTCTTTGTTTCGGCTAGCAGCAGCTTCTGCCCTCTCCTTTGGCACACTGGGGGAAGTCCAGGACAAGCTTTTGTTTAGAAAGGATGCTGCTTCTATCCACGGCCAGGGCAGGTGTGTTCCCCCCCCCCCCCCAAGGTAAGGGAGGGAGGCAGGCCAGCCGGGCCCCCCCCCCCCCCCCCCGAGGTGGGGGGCTGACAAAATGGCACTGGCCTGTTTCTATAGGAACAAATTCCTCTTCTAGCGATCTGGATCTGGATACAGGTGGAATAAAAAGGAAACTTTCTCCAGAGATTCTCTGGGGTGGGGGGCGTGCAAGAGAACCCAAGCAGCTCTCACGATGGTGTGGGGGTGTGGCAGGCCCTGGGACACAATCCCTGTGGCAGTTTGGGGTTGATAAAAAAGGTTTTTAGGAAAAGGTCCCGGACTGTGTGAGGGAGGTAATGGTGGATGAAGTACATGAGCCACAGGCCTCTCCCTGGGTAATATTTGAGCAGAGGCTTGGTGGAAAGGAGGCCGTCCGTGATGCTGTCCACCACCGAGCTGAGGTCCTCCACAGCCACCTTCATGAAATCCACAAACTGCCTGTTGATTTCCTCAAGGTACTCCTCTCCATAGGCTTCCAGAAGGTCGTTGGGTAAAGCTGCAAGGAGCTGGTCCTTCCTCTCCTTCCAGTACTCGGGGTTACAGCTGCCACCTGTAGTAAGGGAGAGAGGAGGAGAGCTTTCATACTCTTCCATAAGGGTCTGCAAAAC